TCAACAATAGGTGACATCACCCAGCGGCGGAAAGAACTGGATTCTGCCAGATGCCAGGGAGAGTTACAGCCCCCATCTCTCCCTCAGGATGGAAGCCCCTTGGGAAAGGGCTTGGGTATGTTCCGTTGGCTCCCTGGAAGGATGGGGTTAGACTCCTGAGGACCTCCTCACGCTGTCGGGGAGGGGAGGCTGGGGGGAGGGGAGGCTGATCCTGAGGGACATGGGGGATGGACATCACTGGACATTTTTCAACGGATGGGGATATGGAAGAGGAGCTGGGAGGGGGTGGGGGCTGGCTAGATCCATCCCTTCAGTGTCCTCTGAATGTTGTGAGACAAGTAGAGGGCGGGGGAAGGGTGGCAGTGGGTGTGCAGGGCCTGCTGGGATACGTGGGCCTGGCGTGCTGCGAACGGCATCTCTCTGGGCCCCTTCAGTCTGATTCCCTCCCTAGTCCTGGTGTGTATCACAGTGCCTGGCGCACAGTAGGTGTGCTGACTGACCTCTTAACCTTGGTTCTGGGTGTCATGTCTGAGGCGCAGTAAGTTGACCGTGTGGTCTGCAGAGGCTCGAGGGAGGCCTGCCCGTGGAGGGGGCTTTGGCAGAGGCGGGAAGGTCAGTCAGAGTGGTCCTGGCAGCGCTGACTGGCCTACTCGCCCCACCTTGGGGGCCGCTGGTCCCCTGCCTTTACAGCCCCCCTCCCAGGACCTGGGTGAGAATGCCCGGCTCCATGTGCTCTCGGTGCTCCACAAGGGCTTTGCACAGAGAGCATGCTGAGATCGAAACACTGAGTGTTGGATGGATCTGAACTGTCAGCCCTTCCAGACTCTGAGCCTCAGTTTCCTCACTTAAAACTAGGGCTGTGAGTAGGTGCTCAGGGTGCTGGCTGGGAGTCAGGAGACCTGGGTTCCAGCCCTGTCTGGGATGTGACTCCCTGTGTGACCTTGGGCAGGGGCTTCCCCTGGGCCCTCAGTGTGCCCTTCTCCAGGAGGGGCATGGTTCCAGCCTCGGGGTGTCAGGGGGTGCTGACTCCAATGCCAAGATCCTTGGCCCTGAGGCTGGGGAGGGGTGGAGACCTGAGGGGCAAAGCGAGGGTTTGTGAGCGGCTGCTTCTAGGCAGCTGGACTGGCAACCAGAGCAAGAGCTTAGATCCTCGCTGACCTGTGACGTCATCCCCTTCTCTCTGGATCAGTGGCTCCGGGCCATCCTCTCTCTCCCTGTGCCCCTAAGCCCGGTGTCCTTTCTCTTTACACCCTGACATGTACCCGAGCCATACCCTTCTCTTGGGTACTCCCCTTCTCTCTGCTGAGCCATATTCCAGCATTTGCCCAGCGTGCCTGGGCTCCACTTCCTCCACAGAGCCCCTGTGACCACCCCCCAGCCCCTTCCCTGACCCCCAGAGTGTGCAGTGTCTCCACACTGCATACGTGGTGTCCTGGCTCATGTTCGGATGGCTTGAGAAGCACAAGTCTCACTTCAAAGTTCAGCTGCTCACCCTGGTGTCCCAAGCCTTCTCTCTCTGCTCCCAACCTCCCTTTGCGGCCACCCCTCCTGCCCATTCCCCTCCCTGGTCACCACCCCAGGGCCCCAGCCACACCAGATGACCCCGTCTCCCAAGCACACCATATGAACTCTGCTATCGTCAGAATGTTTGTCTTGCGCCCAAATTCATATGTTGAAATCCTAACCCCCAAAGCTGATGGTATTAGGAGGTGGGGCCTTTGGGGGTGGGCAATAGGTCATGAGGGTGGGGCCCTCATGAATGGGATTAGTGACCTTATAAAAGACACCCCCACAGAGCTCCACCCCCTCCACTATATGAGGACACAATGAGAAGAGAGCCCTTACCTGACCATGGTGTACACTGATCTCAGACTTCCAGCCTCCAGAACCATGAGCAATACATTTCTGTTGTTTAAAAGCCACTCAGTCTGTGGTACTTAGTTATAGCAGCCCAAGTGGACAGAGACATACTCCCTCCAGGCCTTTGCCTATGTCCTTTCCCTGGGCCTCCTAGAACATTTTCTCTGCTGTCAAAGTCCTGCTTCTCCAGGGTCTATTCAGCCCTCTAACCCCCTCTACCCTGCCTGTACCTCGGCCAAAAGTAATTCCTCTCTCCTCCCTGTGCACATAGTGCTCTGTTAGACCTTCTGTGGATGCAACGACTTCACTCTGCATCCTGAGACCAGCAGGCATAGTGCTAGGCACAGACCTCCCATCCTCATAGCAACTGCCTCAGGGACGTACCAGTATTATTGCTATAAATAGAGGAGCAACACTGAGGCTCAGAGAGGGTACATAACATGCCCTTGGTCACCCAGCTAGTAAATGGTGAAGCTGAGATTCAATTCCAGGTCCAGCAGAGTCCACAGTCAAGCTGTCATTGAAGCCAGCATCCTAGGCAGGCACACTGTGGTCCAATGTGTGTGAAGCTGAAGAGAGCTGCTTGGCTCGTGCAGTCAGGGCCGGGCCCTATGCTTTTCTTGAGCACACAGCATGGGCGTCTGGTTTATTAGCTTGGGTCCTGGAGGACGTGGCGCCTGACTCAGGTGAAATAAGGTACTGAGCTAGAACCCGGCAGGGCCATCAGGGCGAGTGACCCCTCCCACCCTCGCCCTGATTCAGGAAGTTCAGACCTGAGGTGGAGCCAGGACAGCCAGCAACTCTGAGAGCCCAGCCTAACCTGTCCCCCCACACCCAGATGGACACTGCCCTTCTCCTTCCCAGCTGGCTCCCCGGTGAAATACGAGACACCGGGAGGGGCCTGAGGCTTCCAACACGGACTCTCTGTATTCGTGTCATCACAAGACTTCATAGATCAGGAAGAGCGTGGGCTCTGGGGCCAGCAGTCCTCCTCTCCTCTCTAGTTCTGTGACCTGACCCCAGCCCTCAGCTTGGGGTGGCAATGCCTGTCGCACATGGTGTCAATGAGGGCTAATGGCACATAGAGTGTCCAGCCCAGAGTGGCTGGAAAAGTCAGTGTAAGGCAGCCCTGAGTTTCAGGGGTGTTTGCTCTTCAATGACTAGTGACAGTGGCTCAACACTTCAGCACAGGCAGGGACGGAGCGGGCTGTGGTCGCTGACACTCCTTGGACTCCCTGCACCTAGGAGAGAACAATGGACAGCACCTCCAAGTGCCCTCTCTCCCACTGAGCCCAGTCCTAACCTATACTGACCACTGAGCTCTCCAGCCCCCACCAACTCCAGCTGCCTCCTTCTCAGCCCAGGAAGCGACCAGTGTCCTCGTTGCCCTCTGGGTTTCCTCACTTGTCCTGGGCTCCATCACCTGTGCTCATCCTCTGGCCTGTCGGTTCTCTGACCCCTGGTCACTGTCTCCGTCTTGTTGAAGAAAGTAGCCAAACCTGATGGGTCGTGCCCATCACAAGTTCTTGCCCTCCCTGCTCACATGGGCCCTGCCCTTGATGCTGCTGCTCTCAGGAATCCTCTTGGGTTGACTCAGAGCTTTGACCTTCAGGAGTGGGTCAAGCCCATTCCCTTAGCCCCTCCCCAGCTCTCCCTTTTATTAGGTACTGTACCAGCTGACCTCCTCCATAGCCCCTAATTTATTAACCAATGGAGACTATTTACTGTGAATCTCATTCATTAGTTGGGCTATATCATTCTCTCATGCATTCATTTATCTTTCCATTCTATCCATCTACCCATTCACCTTCATCCAGTCATCTATTCATCCAACCATCCTTCCTCCTTCCATTCAACTATCTATCCATTATCCATCCATTCAGTCTTCTATCCATCAATGTAGTCATCCATCCAAAAATCCATTCATCTAGTCACTCATCTAGCCATCTCTCCATCCATCCATTCATCCATCCATCCATCCATCTATCCATTCCATTGAATACCTACTATGTATTTACCATGTACTAGGCTCTGTGCTGGATGCCTGGGATTCAGAACCAAAAAGGCCATGGCCTCTACCCTCAGGAGCTCTCAGGCTGGTCTGGAAAGACAGGAGACATGAGCTCCAAAGTTCCTTCTAGTTCCAATATCCTGGGAATCTACGACCTGCACCTGGGCTATGCCAGTGGGTACTAGAGAGATGCTTGTGGCCTGTTCTTCCTTCACCCGGGAACACCAGGGGCTGGAGCAGCCCCTCCTCACCAGCTCAGCTGAGGCTCTGAAATCCCCTCTTGCTTCCAGGCTGGGGTGTTGACATTGCTTAAGGGCAATTGAGGAAAGGCATGGGGCCCCTCTCCAGAAACACGGAGCCTGCTGCCAACACCTGACTCTACCTCCACGTATGAAAGTCAGCAGAGCCCGGGGAAAGGGTGGCCAGGCAGCGGCTTCACATTTTACTCTCCCTGGATTCTTCAACTCCCCTCTCCAAACTCTCTGCCACCTTTCTTCCCTGTATCTCATCCTTCCCACCTGTTCCCTCTTCCCTTTCCCTCCATCGCCTCTCTGTTCCCTCCTCTTCATTCCCCTTCTCCTGTTTCTTCTCTCTCCCCACTAAGTGGTGGAACACATGATGTTCAAATCCTGGGCCACCGTTTTGGGTCCTTGGATAAGTCATGACAATCCTCAGACCAGTGTCCTCCCCTAAAACCGTGGCTCACAGAGGACAAAACTAGATGGTACACTTGCCCAGCCTGCAAGAACAGGGCCTCTTTTCCTCATGGCTCATCCACTTCTTCCCTCTTCCCCCTTCCTCCTTGTCCATAGTATTCTTCCTATCCTTCTCCTTTTGAGACTACAGATGAGTGCCAAATCACACACTTAATCTTTTTTTTTTCTGATTCTCACCTACAAAGTCAACACCTCCAAATGAAAACATGCTAAAGGTACAAATAGTCCATGGATTCACTCCCTCTGTCCTCTTCCTAACTCCCCATCCTGGGGCTAGCTGGAAGGATGACCAAGAGAACAGAGGAAGGGCAAAGAAGGGAGAAGGAGGGCATTTAGGGAGGAAGACATCCAAGGAGAAGCAGGGAGGTGCCCCCATGCACCCACCCTCCCCACGGAGCACCCCTCCTGCTCACCGACGTGTCCTCCGAGCACGAGGCAATGATGTTGTCGATGAAGGGGTTCCACTTGATGTCCAGCACGTTGCCCTGGTGACCACAGACCTTGGGGTAGTTGGGTTCAATCCTGCCCGTCTGCAGAGGAGAGAGAGAGAGAGAGACAGAGAGAAAGACAGAGAGAGAGAGAGAAAAGGGAATTAGTTTGATGAACCTGGGGTGACTTGAAAGAAGAGCCTTTATCCTGGGCTTCTATACTGGACGAGAAGGTCCTTGAGGGCCCACTAATGTCTTTGGGTCCCTGCATCCGGCTGAGCCATACTGCTCTGTGGCTGCAGTCTCCCAACACCGAATGGTCATGGGGAGGGTCCCACAGCAGGGTGGTGGGTGGGGCCGTGCGTGTCCACACGACACCTGTGTGCAACTTAGAGAAAGGTGCCCCTTCCTCAAGTAAAAATGTTTAAAGTTAAGATGTAACTATCCACCTGAACGACCAAAGCCTGGTGGGCAGCAGCCCTGGCAGTTACTGGGCCATGTGCCTGTACTCCCCGCTGCCTCTCAGGGCGGGTGACACAGCCAGGTTTGGATCAAGAGGAGGCTCTTTCCTGCTGCTCCGGGAATGAGTGGAGAGGCCTGAATCTCGGGGTCCACCCATACGCTCTCATATGTTATCCTGCCTGGGATGTGAGCGGTGCCATTCCCAGATGTGGCATGCTTGTTCAGTGTGCATCTTAAAACACCTGTACCCAGTGCCCTGTGGCTGAAAGCATAGTCTTTGGAGCCACACAGGCCTGTGTTTGAATCACAGCTCTGCCACTTTTTAGCCCGGTGGCCTTTGGAAAGTCAATGAGCCTCAGTTTCCTCATTTCTTTTTCTTTCTTTCTTTCTTTTTTTTTTAAGGCTTCAGCAACTTTATTTTCAGACACATGGATACAAAATCAGCTGGAAAGCTTGAGAGTGCAGCTGTCATGAGAGAGGTTCCTCACTAGTACTGTGAAGATCAAATGAGCTAACGTGCTTAGCAAAGTACTTAGTGTGGAGGTTGTCATCATAGTGAATGCTCAATATACGATACTAGTTATTATCATACAGGTTAGACGACACTTCCTCCAGGAAGTCTCCCCTGATCCCTCAATGGATTAAGAACTCCTCTGTGAGCTCAGGGCATTCTGTGCTTCCCTCTATTATAGGCACCATCATGCAGAATTGCAGTCTGTTTCTATCTGTCTATGAGCAACTGAGGATAGACTTCCTTGTCTCTGAATCTCCAGCTCCTTACAAGCCTGGCACACAGTGGGTGCTCAGTACATGACTTGAAAGACATCCTGCAGGGAGGATGAAGTCCACAAAAGATGGAACAAAGGGTGTGGGGGTGAGGGGTAGTTCCATGCTTAGTTGTCTATAAAGGCGGCAGGGAAGGGAGGGGAAATTGCAGGCAGAGGCTGTGTCTCCATTCCCAGGTCTTTTTAATATTAGCTTTTTGGGGTGTGGAGGAAATAGGGAGGGTTTTTCCAGTCACTGCCCATCTGCTAACAGTGGTTAGGTGGTCAGAGGCACCTGAGGCAAACCTCACCGTCCTTTAGGTTCCTCAACTGAATAAGGAGGAAGACAACCAGTTTTTGCCAAGCCCCTGCTACACGTGCCTTATATCACTACTTCACCAGTGTGATGGGCAAGAGTTCTTTCAGAGTGTGCATTCTGCCATAACCTCTTCCCCAGCCACTTCTTGCCTGTATATCTATCAGCTCATCTCCGTATCATTTGATTTTTTGTGACACCGCAGTGGCAAGGTGCGTAGAGGAAAAAAAAAAAAACCTAGAGAAAATGGCAGTGGTATGGAGGGTGAGGAATGAGGTAGAGAAAGAGAGAGGCAAAAGGCCTTGGAGGTTGTACTTAGAAGAACTTCACTGACACTGTACACTGGGGGAAATCAGAGAATGGAGGAAAAGGATTGGGGGTGTATCGCTCTCAGTTAAGAATGGGATCCCCTCTGACATTCCATGAGGGATGCAATTCGAATTGGAATATCTTTTCCAATGACTTTTAGGCCGTTGGACTATGTTTCTTTAGTTGAGACTCTGAGCAGAGACCGAGCCACATGTGGCCCTGGGATTTATTAGGGTTACACAGCAGCTTCTTTAACTCTCACAAAACCCTGGGAATTAGGCACGAGGAAATTAAGGCCCAGAAAGGTTAAGCCACTTGCCCAAGGTTACCCAGCTGAAAGCAAAGCTAGGATTCTCACACAGGTATAACCCTCAAAGCTGAGCTGAATCCTGCTTATTGCTAGCCAGCTCCCCTCTCTCCAGCTCTGACGTCCACAGGCAGACAGGCCCTGCATTGTCTGCTTCCACAGCTCACTTGCTCTCTGACAGAGCCTCCTCTCCTTGTATCTGGTCCCAAAGGCTGCCCTGAGTGGTCCCTGAGTAAAGCTGTCTGCATTAAGCTTTCGGCAACCAGGCAGATCTGCATCAGTCAATAGGTGGCCATCAGCTAGCAGCAGCTTCTGGCCAGCAGCCTGCAGGTGATGTCCTGGAGGGACAGGTGAAGCCACATCACTGCAATGTATTCAGAATGGCGAGAGGTCAGGGCCCTGCACCAGGAAGGGAATTAGTAGCGGATGGTCCCGACGTAACGTATCCTTCCAGGTGGACCTCTGTGAATGCCTTCCCCAAAGGGGTGTGTGACGATGATTTTCATCACTGAATCATACTGTTTGCAGCCATGGGAAATGGCTCAAGGGGAGGGACCTCCTTTCAACCTGGCAGCTTTGATTTTCCCATTTTATAGAGCAGAGTTCATATAAAAAATTTTTTTTCTTTGCAGCTTTGTTTGATCTTAGTTTCCTGACCAGGGATTGAACCTGGGCCCATGGCAGTGAAAGTGCTGAGTCCTAACAACTAGACTGCCAAGAAATTCCCAAAATTTTGTTTGAAAGACAAGTTTCATTGCTAAGAAGAAAAGTATGAAAGCCACAGTTTTACAGAGAAATCATGCAACTTTTAAAATGCAATTATTAACTCCAGGAAAAGAGCTGTATAAGAAAGCTAATACAATCATAGTGATAATGACTTGGGTACAATGTTTACATCATGGTAATAACGTAAATCCTGAATATTTATTTAAACACGAGTTGTGCTATAATATACTGGCAAGGCAGAGGTAGGAAAATTGTGTGTGTGTACAGTTAAGAGGGGAGACAGAGCTGGTAGAGAGCCAGATCCCCATCTTCCATAATAGGAAGTCAATAGACAATGTCTAAGATCTAAAAAACCAGACATAGCCGTGAAAGCATGTAACTAAGAAATACAAGGAGAAGTACAAAAAGACACAGCTCAAAACATTGGAAGCAGCTACCTTTAGGGAGTGGGAAATGAGGGGTGTAGCAAAGTAGGATAGGGATCGAGGGTACAGGCCCTGGTGTGCTGGTAAATGTTTAACAACCGGTTTTCCAGGAAAAAAAAAGGCCATGGTTTGGAACATTTGCCAATTTCAGTGGCAAGTGCCCACTATGCCTAACTTCAAGCTACCAAGGTGATATCACCAAAAGTAGAGTTAAAAGAGACTCACAGTAGCTCACCAGATAGTAGTAAAACAGTTAGTAAGGAATAAGTTTTTAACATTAGTACCTCTGTTTTTAACATCATTCATTTAATTGAAAGTTGCATAATTTAATTTTTAATAATGGTCGTGTTTAAAAACTGGGCTGCAAAACTCCTAAAAATTTAACAGTAAGCTCTCATGAGTTGGTATAAGCCAACCCCAGCACCTCCCTTGTAGTGCTATAGGCCTTGCAGTACTATCAGACTTCATGAACTCTGCACAATTATTACTCTGATAGACATAAAAATTAAAGAACAAACCAATAAAGTGCATGTATAGGTATTCTAAAGGAAGCTTGTTCTGAAATTATTTTTTTCTGAATTTAAATAAATGTGAACAATCCTCTCCCCAGACCCTCCAAATGCCTCTGTTTTCTGTTATACTTTCTGGATAGGGGTGTGACTACAGACCAAATCCGAATCTGGTTCTTAACTGCTACCCAATACTGCCTTCTCATACTTGGGCTCAAGCCAACACTAGTAGCTATTACTAATATAATATATTAATACAATCAAATTTATATTGATTTACAGATATCATCAAATTTAATCCTCATAACAGCCCCACCTTACATCTGAGAAAACAGATGTGTAAAGAGTTTCTCAGGAGCGGAGTCAAGGTTTTGCACTGTTTTATAACTTTAGAATCACTGTTGAGATGGTCAGCTCACAGAACTGTCCCAGTGGGAGGCTTCTCAGTGGTCCTGGGGTCTAACCTGCCATCTGGTGTTTGAACCTCAAAGAGAGCTTGAGTCTCAACAGAGCTGGGGCAGAGTCCTTGCTGCATGGGGTGGGGTCGGGATGCCTGTTACACAGCATCTATAATCATTAGGGAGATCTTCATGCTGTTAGGATGGGCCTTATCCTGGAGGCCTCAGAGGACAAATCCAATCCCCCTTCGCTGGGACAGATTTTCAATGTCAAATGTTGGGTGGCAGCTGTTATGTACCCCAAGTCTTCTCAAGGAGGAGCCCAGTGCTGGGGATCAGGCTGCATGTCAAACACAGCTGAGCTGCCAAAGACAGAGTTGGGGGGTGCTGGGACATGACCTCTCAACAGGGTGCAGGGGAGTGAGAAGCATGGCAACTTTCCCACAGGTCCATTTGACAGGGTCTCAAAGACTTTTAAAAGGTTCATAGCCTTTGAACAATAACCCCACTTTGGGAATTTATCCCAGTCAACAGGGAAGCATACGAAGACACTCAGTGCCATGTTATTTATAATAGGGAACAATAATAAATGCTCAACAATGTGGCATTGCCAAAATGAATTATAGGACACCAATATAATGGAATATTATGAGGTAATTTAAATCATATTTTCAAAAAATATTTAATGGCATGGGAATTACTCAAGCTCTAATGGTAAGTGAAATAGTCAGAATCAAGTTATATATGCAAAATGATCCTTAGCTATTAAAAGAAAAATACATCAAAAGTTAATAGTGGCAGGACTTCCCTGGTGGTGCAGTGGTTGAGACTCCGTGCTCCCAATGCAGGGGGCCCAGATTTGATTCCTGGTGGGGGAACTGTGTCC